TGTGTGTGTGTGTGTGCGTGTGTGTGTCTGTGTGTGTGCATGCGTGCGTGTTCTAATCAGAGCAGCCGATTCCTGTGTGTTCTGCCCGGGAACCCAATGCTGGTTTAGCAACATAATGATCTGTGCAGCCGGGAGGGGCCAGGGAATCATGTCAGGGGGGTTAACCGAGAGTAAATCAGCTACTGTGACGGAGGGCAGGGCGGGCTGGCCCAGGGCAGGCCCCCACTCTGCTTTGCAAAGTCTCTGGGGTTCTTCCTGCAGCCCCGTCCAGCAGGAGCGCTGGCAGGCCCCGAGCATGCAGCCGGCTCGGAAGCCCCCGGTCGTTAGCTGCCGGACTGGCATCTGTCGTAGACCTGAGGCGGGCAGTCCTCCCCGACTAGGTATGCTGGTTCATCCTTCGTAAGCAGGAGAGAAAAGATGGCTCGGGAGCCAAGTTAGGACGTCAGCAGTGAGGTGATTCTCAGGGGGCTTCGAGCAGAGGCCAGTGTCATTGCAATGTTTGCTGTTTCCTTTCTTAACTTCTTCCTGAATGCTTTCCTTCTTTCCAAGTGATTCAGATGATCGCAAGCCAGCACAGGTGAGGGGGTGAATTTCCCGTTCCAAAGATGAAAGCGGTGGTCGATTCTGGCCCATGATGTGGGCTGGACACTGTACCTCCATCTTGTCGGAAAGGGACCCACAGGGATAGGTTCTCAGCTGGTGTCTGTATCTCCACTTTCGTTTCATCCATGGAAAGAAGCTGCTGCTGCTTTTTTTTTTTTTTAATGAATTTTGCAGCATTGTCTCAAGCCATTCATTCCATTTTGTCCTTTTCATTTGCTCCCATGATGGGTGTTAACAGAAGAGGGTCATGCTGAACGGAAGTAAGTGTACCCGCTGCCTGATCTCTGGTGTGTGCTGCTGTCTCGGGCTCGCTGCCCACCCGTGTGTCTGCAGAGCCTTTCTGAAAACCACAATTCCCAATCCCTGGTCATGGTGGGGTGTCTTCACAGGGCTTCCTCTCACAGCCACCCCAGTGATGGGGTGCGGGCGGCCACGCTCTGCGTCAGAGGTACCCAGTACCTACTGCCCCGTCTAAAGCAGTTGCTGTCACTTTGGGGGATTCCCTTGCCTCTGCTTCACAAAACCTAATAGAGCAACAAGGTCGCTCCCCAACCACGCTGCCCTGGGGTTCCACCTGAGTCAGGGTCATAGGCAAAATTGCCATGTAAAGCCAGCTCTCGACAGAGCAGACCCGGGGTTACGCCCAGGCCCCCGAGTCTCACCTGCAGGATGTTTGCCCACTTTGCAAAACACCTTCTCACGCCCCAGCCAGCATCCCAAATTATCACTGAATGGACCGAGGCCCCACTTGGCACGCAGTCACGATTTGATCCCAACCATGTTAGCTTATGGTTGTGTCCCACGGGAACAAATAAGCTGTCCCCCAAACAGACCTGTGTGATGGCTGGGGTGCAAACAGACGGGCACTCCTTGACGGAGAACATCCCATGACGTCCACCCACGCTGGGCCTGGAGCGCGCCTCTCAGTCCTCCTGGAGTGCCAGAGAGGGGTTTGCAGGTTTCTGCTGAGATCCTCGCCGTGCCACAGCCCGCCTCACTCTGGAGACCCTGAGTCTAGATAGTACAGGACACCCTCCTACATGGGACACCTGGGGCCCAGCTGGGCTCCTGTCTCTTGCTTTTGGGTAACTCAGCCTGATGCTGGTGGGAGAGTCCTCAGAGTCGCACCTGGAGCTGCCTTATTCCTGCTGGTGTAGCCAGGATGCCAGGACCAACAGCCAGCACTCTCCCCAGCAGAGGTTCTAGACGGGGGTCCTGTATTAGTAACACATCCTATTCTGGAGCCCGGGAAACTGCATGTGAACACGCCGTGGGTGGATGGTGTCCCTGGCAGCGCTTCTCCTGGTGACAGGCTTGAAGCTTGATTCCACAGCCTGAGTCACCTGGGGAAGTGCTGCCGCTTTCACACGGGAGCATTCCATACTTGAGGTTACAATGACTGATGTCAATAGGGGAGTGTCACGGCTTAGAGGCACCTGGGTAACCAAGTAGTTTTTTACCCAGATGCACATCGGTGGCAGAGGGAAGAGAGCAGCCAAAAAGAAGGAAAAGAAATAGCAGAGAGCAGGCAGACATGCCGGGCGCCATTGGGGCCTGTCTCCAGTTCACGCCCCCCGGTCGGTGTGGCTCCATGGTGGTTCTAGCCCAGAGCTTTTTACATGCCAGAAGCATGACTGCAGGAAAAGCCAGGGCCTGCCCAGTGGTTCCGGAAGCCCAGTGGGATTCGAACATCTGCGGGAGTCCCGTTGGTGGCAGACACGGGCTCCCACCCCCAGAGACGTGGACTTGGCAGGTCTGAGCCAGGCACAGGAACTCTGGTTTCAAACCAGTTCCCCAGGCGCTCTTTATGAGGGGTCAGTGGGCTCCTCTGTCCTCACTAGTCGGCTGTAGATCTCAAAAGACAGTCCCATGCGAGCTGGTGAGACTTGCTGACGATGGGAAGTGGGGAGCTTGGCACCTAGCCCCCTGGTGGCATCCCCCATGCCCGCATCTCAGCGGTCAGTGTTCTTGTTGGTGACCCTCTCGCTGGGCACTGCACCCCGTCCACTACCATGGACGGTCAGGGCAGTGCCGCCAGAGCCGTCCCGCCCAGGTCGTCTCAGGTCACATCGCTCCACCCAGGAGGGAGTGGACGTTCGTAGGCTAAAATCTTGCCTGAGCTGGTGTTTGGCAGGGCCCGGACTCAAACACACGTCACATTCACGTGAGTGAGTCTGAAAAGGAAGAGACTGCACGACACTCCTCTCCAGTAGCTGGGGGCAGAAGGACAGACATGCCTTCAGTTTGAGGACAGCAGAAAAGAGCATGAATCAGGGCCCAAGGAAGCAGCTGTCATTGCGGTGTGTAGCTAGAGAGCTTGCCCCGGGCTTTGGCCAGACCAGTGAGGGGTGCCACTCAGGCTGTCTCCATCCAGCTGTGAGAGCTAGGAACTTCTGGGCATTCACATGTGACCCCCTGCCACGGGAGTCATCCAGCCATCTCTGTGGGGCCTAGAAGAGTTGGGTCCTGTCACCACGGCAGCCCCAAGGGCTTCACCAGCCCAGCCAGAATAAGAAGGGCGCAGGGGACACCCAGGGACTCCCCCAGCCGCCACTGGGAGGATGGGCTCCTTTCAGATTCCGGCTTTTTGGCAAGGGCAGCATGTCCTGCTAGTGAGGGTCTCCCCAGGCTGCCTCTGTGCGGGGCTGACAACAAGCATAAGCACGTCCCTGGCTGGCTCTGCAACAAAGCCAGGCACTGCTGGGCAGTGTCCACGGGTGAGGAAAACCCTTCCTTCAGGTTGCACTGGTACAGACTGAAAGTTGACAAAGTAGTCCTTGCTGTCTGGGTTTGTGGACGATTTCGGTCACACCCTGAGTTCCCCCATGCAGTAACGGGAATTTCTGCTTCCTGAGATGAGGCTGGCCTGGGAGGTGTCCTTCCCTGCCCCGTACAGTTAAGCCTGACGACCTCCGGGGGGCGCTCTTCTTGCTGAAATGGAGGCGTGAGATGTCACTGCCTCTAGAGGCACTGGTGATGTCACTTAACATGTTCCGCCATGGGAGCAGGACTTCATTCTGGCCCTGTTTTCGTGCTTTGAGCCCTGACACGTGTCTCACTGGTCACCCGCCAGCTGACCCTCACCCCCACCTCACACCACCCATGCAAGTCCACTCAGCTCCTCTCATCTCGGTTCAGGTGAGTGGGCTGCTTTGGTGTGCTCTGGGCTCTCCTGGAAGTTTCCGTCTCCTGCTTCCTTCTCCCCTGCCTCTGTCCTGGCATGGCAGATAATTTGCTCACTGCCAGTGCCCCTGCCCCTTGATGCTCTGGTGTGGTCTGGGTGTCCCCCTCTGTCCTGGTGACCTGGCTTGTGACGCTCCTCTCTGTTGTTGCTGTTTCAGAAGCCCGGAGGTCATGAGCACCGTCTCAGGTACACGGAGCAGTACCGTCACCTTCACTGTTCGCCCCGGCACCGCCCAGCCCATCACCCTGCAGAGCCGGCCCCCAGACTACGAAAGCAGGACCTCAGGAACGAGACGCGCCCCGAGCCCCGTGGTCTCGCCAACGGAGCTGAACAAAGAGATCCTGCCCGCCCCTGTGTCTGCCACTGCCGCGTCTCCTTCCCCCACTCTCTCCGACGTCTTTAGCCTTCCAAGCCAGCCCCCTTCTGGGGACCTCTTTGGCTTGAACCCAGCGGGACGCAGCAGGTCGCCATCACCCTCGATACTGCAACAGCCGATGTCGAATAAGCCTTTTACAACTAAACCTGTCCACCTGTGGACTAAACCAGACGTGGCAGACTGGCTAGAAAGTCTAAACTTGGGTGAACATAAAGAGACTTTCATGGACAATGAAATCGATGGCAGCCACTTACCAAACCTTCAGAAAGAAGACCTAATAGATCTTGGGGTGACCCGGGTTGGACACAGAATGAACATAGAAAGGGCTTTGAAACAGCTGCTGGACAGATAAGAGCGGCTGCTTCTGACCTTCACAGACTTCTTATAAGTAGAGATGGGCTTATACTGAGATAGCTGGATGGCCAGCAGAGGTCTGAGCACCGACCCCACCCCGTGGCACTGTCTCCTGGTACCCAAAGAAGCGTTGAGTGTGTCGTGTCAATGGTGTGGCCGAGCAAAGGCCTGAGACCCCCCTGGCTCTCTCTGTGGGGTTCTTGGGCTGTTTCTGTCAAACGGGACAAGGGGAGGGAGTTTTCCTAACACGGGAAGAGATCCACGCCTGCCTCTCGGCACGCAGGTGACCTCACTTGGCTGGGTCCCAGACGCTCCCCCGTCGATTTGGCACGGGGTCTTTGCTCTGGTAGGCAGACACCAATGTACCTGAGATACCTCCTGAGACCCCCTGCCTCGCTTCCTGGGCAGCTCTCACCTCCCGGCCCCAGTACAGGCCCTTCCTCACTCTCGTGGCCTCTCGGAGGGCACTCGATGCTCACCTCTTTGTCTTTCCCGTACTTTGCTTACAGCGAGAGGCCCCAGGCGTGTTTATCCAGTGCCTCGCCTTGGGCCTGAAAGGCAGAGACACTTCTGTTTTCTGTACAGACTCTTTGCCCCGTCTCCTCCTGCGACGTGCTCCCGTGGCTCGCTGGCCATGAGGTTCTTGGCAGTGTGGGGAGTTCGAGCAGGATCGTGCCCAGCTTGGCTTAGCTTTCTTTCTTTCTTTCTGCAAGTCTATTCACATGTTTCCAGGGTGGCCACACAGATGTCACATGGAGTTAGTCAAAGCACAAAGCCACGACTCCAAGGAGGGGGGACCTTGCCATGGGAACCAGTCAGCGTGCAGCTGCCTGGGTCCAGAGTCTCCTCGAGAATAACAACAGCTGTCTGCCAGGAGCATCTGTTCAGGAGTGTGAGAAGGGGCTTCTCTGCCTTTCAGCGTTTCTTTTCCAATTGAAGATGTTTGAGCTCTGCAAAGATCAGAGTAGGTGAGCATCCACTTTGGCCTGGAAGACTAGACACAAGGCCGATGACGGGCGGTGTGGCCCGAGCCGTGTCTTCACTGGGGGGGTGGGGGGGGTGGGTGCAGCGCCCTCCGTTCTGAGCCCTGCCGGGGGCCAGCACCTGTCAGGACGTCCCTTTTGCTGTCTGAGCCCAGGGAGGACAGTACTTCAGGGGCTTTTTCGTTTCTCTCCGGGTGTCCAGGAATCCCACCAGCTTGTCTTAATAGTCAACAGGTTCTTTGAGGACCCACTGGGCATGAAGTGTAGACGGGACCCAGGGTGGAGAAGAGAAGGTGGGTTGCGGGATGTGGGTTAAAAGCAGGTGAATAGGAAGAGAGCAGGGAGGTCTCCTGGACGGCTGGTCTTGCCTCGGGTAAGGCTGTCTTAGAGCCCTGCCCCTTCTTTTCCCTGGAGTCCCTCCTTCCCTGTAACAATACCTCTAATTTCCAGGGAGGCCATCAATTGCGCATGGATAGCAAAACATCCGGCGAGGCTTCCAGCACACTCTCTCACATTTGGAAGATACTCGAGTGTCAGGGTTTGGTTTTATTATGATTTCAGAACTAGCCCAGCCCATCTCTAATTATAAAACACGATCTTTTTCTTTTCTTTTTTTTTTTAATGCTCACAATCAAGTGTCTGATTAGGTCTGGAACAGCCCTAGAATGAATACGTAAAATTTAGCAATTTAAAATATCTTTCTTTACTGCAAGTTTAAATAGCTGTACAGATAGTTTATAAGCACAATATTTTAAGAAAAAAAAAGTGGCTGGTCTACTAGGCAGCCTTTGTGCCACTTCAGTGCTAGAAAGTTAAAGAAGAAAAAAAACTTTTGTGATTTAATAATACTATTTCTGTGGAATAATTATAAAAGTATGACCTTTTTAAATCAACCTTATTTGGATGCATCTGAACCAGCAGCGCTGTGTTACATTTTCTATCTTTGCTAGAACTTTGTCATCAAAGGACAATTATTTCTTCAAAAGTGGTTACAATTCACAATGCAGCAGTTTCTCCAAAAACAAAACCAACACACAGACGCGCACACACACATCCACCTTTTCCAGCCACACGCTCCTGATTTGGAAAACAAGTCTTTGGACCTTCCTCTGTTCCAAAACCTTTTGCAGGTCAATCTTTGCATTTGAATGATCCAATCTGATTCGAAATCAATTGAGTATTAAGGCGCCTTCCTTCCGTAGACTTTCCATTTTTCCATCATCAGACATAGGAATATTACTCTAGAGAAATTTAAGCCAAGATACTATATGTAGGTGGCCTACTCAGGCTGCATGATGTTTCAGAAACTGTAAAGATGGTGGTTCTGCCTTATTTGTCTTCCATTTGGTGATGCTGCAGAATTCAGCTAAGTAAGCGACTCATTTCCTTTGCCTGCGGTTGGTATTACCTCTGTGCTCAGTGGCAGGCAAATGCTAGATAAAGCGAGTGTAAAGGGAACCGCGGTACATGGTATTGATTACGACGTGTGGCTTTGGGCTCATTGAACTTGGGGGGACACTCGGTGAGAGCTGGCTGTTTCTTTCTTAAAGCAACTTCAAGCCACATGCAGCTAACCAGACGCAAACCAACTCAAAAGACTGAAGAGCTAATGAAAGTTGATGATTACATTGTCTCATCATCGAAAAGTACCAGGGCCTGTGAGAACCTGCACTGACCCGCAAAACAAACATGTTGCCGAGATGAATCAGTCTCTAGCTCTATTCTGATGATTTCGCTACAGAAAGCAATAGTTTCTCATTCAAATAGCCACCCACTGTTCTCCCCTTTTGGGACGTGTTTAAGACCAGGCCCTATTCCATGACCTTCTTCAATGGTGGAACAAATGTTAAACTGCTCATATAAAGATCATGTTAATAGTATCCCAGGTTTTAAGATCAACTTTTGTTATATACTGTAATTTAAATAAATTGCATTTACATGCCTACTTTCTGTAATATTGTGTATACAAAACCAAAATCTCTCAAGATGTAAATTATGTATACCTGCCAAGATACCTTCTCCAAGGTGTCTGCACATTTTAAGTTAATTCGTATAATATAAAAATGACTCAGTGTGACTGCTAATTTGCTGAACTCTACATCTCACAAAGCTAATTATTTGTGCTACTTAAGTTAATAAAATGGTGATTTTTTTTTTTTTTTTTTTTCCCTGAGTTCTTGAACAAGCAAGCATTATCCAGTTGATCTGGTAATGACTTTTCATGTGTGGACCACAAATACTGATTTTCCCATTAACAATTTTTTTTTTTTGGTTTTGTTTTCTAGATACCAATGTGTTTCACCCTATAGTCTGTGTAACAACACATATTCCCATTACCGACCTTGCTGTTACTTTTGTGCTTTTATTCTTTTTAGACTTTATTAAAAAACAAAAACGAACAAAAAAAAGCTCCTGTAATTGCACTTTTTCCCAATCCTTAAAACTCTTGTATGGCAACCAAAATTACTGTAAAAAAATAAATATACTATTGCACTAAGGTTGTGGTTCTGATTGCAAACAGTGAAAACTGAATTAAACAAAAAACAGTTGCCAAACATGCAATCCAATGTACGGTTATCTGAAACGTAGCCAGCTTTACCTCTATAAACCTGACCAGATAATATCTTCCATCAAAGAGTAAGAATGCTCCTTTCGTTGACCTAATCTGCCTTCGTGCCATTTCCTTAGCTTTTTTCAGTGTATAAATGCAAACGTGTGTATTATTTCAGAATTGTTTAGAATGTGGAAAGCAACTGCCCGTGAACACTCCTGGAGTGTGTAGCTGAGGGCTGGCTTTTCCACTGGCTCTGGGGGTGGGATAAGGGGGAACCAGACGGTGAGCTTTCTGCTCAGAGCAGAGGCCTCCCCCACGCCCCCAACCAGTGTCTTCTTCCCGTAAGGCCATGGGAGTTGCAGGTCTGGGCAGACGCTCTGGTTGACACAGACCTGACAATGTTCTGATAAGCAAGCAACGTACCAATGCTTGGAGCAAGAGAACCGAGCCGGGAAGACAGGCTGAACCTTCGGCTTTAGGGAAGCATAATTTAAGTTTAAGGAGCCCTGGTGGCACAGTGGTTAAGTCGCTTGGCTGCTAACCGAAAGGTTGGCGGTTCAAGCCCACCAGCCGCTCTGAGGGAGAAGGATGTGGCAGTCTGCTTCCTAAAGATGTACAGCCTTGGAAACCCTATGGGGCAGTTCTGCTCTGTCCTATAGGGTTGGAATCGACAACAGTGGGTTTTGGCTTTAATTTCAACTTAAAACACTGAACCTCTTCTTTGGCCTCAGCAGTGAAAACTGGTCTTCAGTTCCTCTGCGGTTTTTTTTTCTATTTTGACACATTCTCTATCTTGAGCAGCAGCCACTGTGTTTCCACGGTCACGAAAAATTCTAATTCACGTGTCTTTGGTAGTTTACCCTCCGTAAGCCCTCCTGCCTCATCTTCCGATGGTTTCTTCCAGACCTTAACCACCCCCACGTCAGAGTCTAATGGTTTCTTCCAAACCTCTTTTCTTAGATGAGTCTATTAAGTTTGTCTGGTTAGGGGGGAAAAGAAATTATTGGAAAACCTTTTCTTTCCCTTGAACTCTGAGACATTTTACTAACCCAGTGACTGGAACATCTTTCTGTATTTGTAGCTATCCACGTACACACGCAAGTCGGTGAGAAAAAATTCCATAGGGGCCGGGGCGGGGGCGGGGGTGCCACAGCAGCTGCACGCGGACGGGACTGCTCGTGCTTCGTGGGGGCAATCGGGTAATTTCCAGACTTGTTTCTCAGACTTCAGCAGATCCGATCACTCCATTTTTAATCCACCCTGTATCGGTGATTTGGTTTCTTTACTGTTCTTTTAACATGAGTCTACATTTCACAGTCTTTACCGTTTTGTGTTTAAAATTACAACCATCACTGTCCATTGCGTCTACTCTGGAACTCTTTGTCTATAGCAATTCTGGAACTTTAATATGAGCCTTCAAATAAACACAGAAAAGAAAAAAAACAAGGAAAAAAATATAAA